GCGCGGAGACTTGAGAATACCTGTTAGACATGCGCATGAAAGTCACTAATGACGGTAGCTGTGATATACTTACGCGTCATCTAAATCGATATCTGCTTTTTCTCCACGAGCATCACCCCGCGCTGTAACGAAGTCCTGGATGTCAAAAAGTAACGAGTCAAGTCGTGCATTCACGACCCCGCGAGCTTTCTTCTCTATCTCTTCGAGCCTTTTGTTCTCATCCTGTAACCATAATCCATTCCATCAGATATTTTTCTTTTGCCCCGATATGGATAGGTTCCCAACACACCTTGACTTTCTTATTCTCCTTCGTCAGCTCCCGACACAGCTTTTCAAGCTTATCCTTCATAGTAGCAGTCTTGCTAAGCTCCGACTTCCCCTTATCCTGGTCCTTCTGGAGCTGATCGGCTCGTTTTTTACTCTTCGCATAATCTCGATCGAGCTTCTTCATGTCGGCAAGCAGCTCAGTGTACTTTTTGTGGACAGTCTCAAGTCGTGTCATGGGTGATTCTATATTGTTCAAGAGCTGATTTAAATCACGAGTAGCTTTTTTGACTTCTCGTTCTATCGGGAAATACAGATATGTAAGTAATAACTCATCTTACCCCAGGCGTCCAGGCCTCCAGTGAGCGCGCCGAAGTGGCCTGTCCAACAGGAATAAAATTATGGTATAGAACAGTCCTTTATAGTAACGTACCAATTTCAGCCTCTTGGTCCTTTTCCCCAGCCGCATCTTGCTCGAGTTGAGATATTTTGGCGGCCAAGAGCTTCGACGTTTCGCTGGGGTCCGCGGGCTTCTTTCCCTTTGCTTTTTTTGCCATGGTGGTTGGGGCCATTGCTAGGTGGGGAGACCCCGAATGAGTTGACGAAACTGGGCTATCGGAGTGCCTATTTACGAAGTTCGAATGGTTTGTATGGGAGGAAGCGGAGTGGGATGCGCCAGAGCTGTTGTATCCTGGATGAACATGTGGAGCAGCAGCTGCCATAGCTGGACCACCACGCAAACAACCAACGACGCCCTCGCAGTTTCAAGGGTATTCGCCGGTAGAACTGCTTCTTAGCCTCTAGCGTCAACACAGGTCGACAGGTGAACTATATCCCAGGTCCCGTGCTCGCATCCGAGACACACCCAGCGAATTTTTCAATGCCAACACGGCGCTCTGGGAGACAGAAGCGCAAAACGGGGACGTATAGAGGGGACGCGACACCTATATGTGAGAGAAGAAGACCTCTATATCTAGTTCCGAGTTCCCGGGCGTGTAAACGAGGCCGGCGAGCAGGCTGATGCAGGCCCTTGGAGGTAGTAACTGGGCAGAGAAGCAGTTCGAGTTCTGGCTCAAAAGGCGTAGGAGGGGACAAGCCACACCGGCCAAACAACGCTAAGCCTAGCTGGGCCATGGCTGTGGCTAAACGACGCCTCAACTCGCCCAGCGCAACATCAGACTCTGTGACCTCCGGAAATTTACATTTCCTTCGACGCTACAAACTAATATTGGGGGGCTGCTCTTGTGTTGTTTCATTGGTATTACGGTTTCTCTCTCATTTTGTTTCTCAGGGAAATAGAACCCAGTCGTCTCCCCCGACGAGTTTTCGCCCCAGTTTGCGCCGCTCAAAGTTTTTGGCTCCCAAACGAACTTCGTCCGAACGATTCTTTACCAGACGCCATCTCTATCGTTGAGCGGTTCTATTTGCATCTATACACTCATTCGATGATTCAGTTATAGATAGATAATTGTTGGGAATTAATCGCCTATCTGGTATTCGAGTTTTCGGGTAGCTCTTTTCGCCGCCAGCTATCCCGCAGCCAATATGCTTCGATCAACCAACACGTTTTTGAAATATGGAACCTCTTCGTCGAGGTGTCCCACTTTCTCCTCCTTGCGCAGTAAAGCGAATCGCGGATACTTGATTAGAAAGAGTCAGAGACTAGCTTCCACCGTCACACAGCTAGATAACTATCCCGCAGTTGGCGAGAAACTTCACGGTTTCACCGTCAAGGAGAAGAAGCATGTCCCGGAGCTTCATTTGACCGCAGTTCTCTTGAAACATGATAAAACAGATGCAGACTATCTCCATGTGGCCAGAGATGACAAGAATAATGTCTTCGGTATTGGGTTCAAGACGAACCCCCCAGACGCAACCGGCGTGCCGCATATCCTCGAGCACACCACTCTATGTGGCAGTGAGAAGTAAGCAATCTTAGCCTTTCCGGTCTCGTGGGATTTATCAGCTGATTACGTTGTCCTGTTTAGGTACCCTGTTCGCGACCCGTTTTTCAAGATGCTGCCTCGTTCTTTATCCAACTTCATGAACGCTTTCACCTCGTCTGATCATACCACGTATCCATTTGCGACAACCAATAAACAAGACTTCCAGAACCTACTATCAGTCTACCTGGATGCCACATTACACCCCTTGTTGAAAGAAGAAGATTTTCGACAAGAAGGATGGCGCCTAGGGCCTGAAGATCCTCGCGCGTTCCTGGCTCACAAAGAAGGCAATGAAAGCCCGGCCACAGCAGATGATATTGTTTTCAAAGGAGTGGTCTATAATGAGATGAAAGGGCAGGTATCTGATGCCAATTACTTATTCTATATTAAGTTTAAGGAACAGATCTTTCCTGCCATAAATAACTCAGGCGGCGACCCACAGTATATAACAGATCTAACTCACAAGCAACTGGTCGACTTTTCAAAAAAGAATTACCATCCAAGCAATGCGAAAGTTTTCACGTATGGGGACATGCCTCTAGGGGATCATTTACAACAGGTTGGGCGTGTCTTGGATGGCTTTGAAAAGTCAACTCCGGATCGAGAGGTCAAACTTCCACTGTCTTTAGACGACGGCCCCCTTAGCGTCACGATTCCAGGTCCAATCGACCCATTTACCAGCGAGGACAAGCAATTCAAAACGTCAGTGTCTTGGTTTGCAGGTGATTCCACTAACGTCGTGGAGACCTTCTCGATGGGAATTCTTTCGTCCCTGCTGCTTGACGGATATGGTTCACCAATGCATAAGGCTCTAGTCGAAAGCGAAATCGGATCCTCATTTACACCAAACACTGGTCTTGATGCTTCTGGCAGAGTTCCTATATTTTCAGTTGGTGTGAACGGAGTTGCCGAAAAAGACATCGCCATGGTGAAGGAGAAGGTACAAAAGGTTTTCCGGCAGTTCTCGGCTGCAGGATTCAACGATGACAAAGTGAAAGGCATCCTGCACCAACTGGAACTTGCATTGAGACACAAGACAGCCAACTTCGGGATTGGAATCATGGAAAAGACACTATCATCCTGGTTTAATGGTTCTAATCCAATGAAAGAGCTAGCTTGGAATGAGGTGATTAATGAATTCAAGCAACGCTATGAGAAAGGTGGCTACCTAGAACAACTTATGAAAAAATATCTTATGACTGATAAGTCCATGACTTTTACGATGGCTGGATCACCAACTTATAATAAAGAACTGGACGAAAAAGAAGTAGTGCGAAAGGAGGGAAAGATGACCGAATTGACTGAAGCTGCAGGCTCTCTTGAAAAAGCCGTTGACCAACTCAAGAAAGAAGAATTTGAGTTATTGAAGGTCCAGGAAGCAGCCCAGAATGCCGATTTAAGCTGCTTGCCAACTCTCCACGTGAAAGATATTTCGAGAACGAAGGAATGGAAAACCGTGCGGGAATCCAAAATAGGTGAAGTCGACGTTGTTTGGAGGGAAACCCCAACAAATGGCCTCTCCTATTTCCAGGCTATGAATGCATTTGAAAATCTCCCCGATGAGCTACGGTTGCTTCTACCTCTCTTTAATGACTGCGTCATGCGACTCGGCACCGCCGGACGAACAATGGAGCAATGGGAGGATTTGATAAAACTCAAATCTGGTGGTATTTCGTCCTCCACTTTCATTGTATCGTCTCCAACATCACTGGACGGATACGCTGAAGGGCTCCAATTCTCCGGTTATTCGCTTGACAAGAACTTCTCGGCTATGCTTGAAATGATATCCAGTCTAGTAACTGAGACTGATTTCAACAGCCCCGTGGCTCCGCGGATGATCCAGGAATTGCTGCGATCTTCCACCAACGGTGCTATTGATTCGATTGCGGGTACAGGCCACCGATATGCTATAAATGTTGCGACTTCGGGTCTGTCTAAGAAATTCTGGGCTAGCGAGCAACTATCAGGCTTAGCACAAGTCCAGGCTACCGCCAGGCTTCTACATGATGCGGAAACCTCACCAGAACGGTTGCAAGACCTAATTCGGAAACTTCAGCTGATACAATTATTCGCGATTTCGAATTCCTCGAAATTCCGTGTGCGTGTAGTCTGCGAGTCAGAAAGCGCCAGCGCGAACGAAAAAACTCTTCAGCGCTGGCTCTCTGGCCTCCCTCGCAATCTTAACCCCCCCTCAACAACCGAAGGATTTATCCCTAACCCATCCGTCACCAAAGTGCTTTATAACCTCCCGTATAAAGTCTCCTATTCCGGCCTTGCTCTTCCAACAACGACATTCACCGATCCGTCTAGTGCATCACTCAGTGTACTCTCCCAACTCTTAACTCACAACTATCTCCACCAAGAAATACGGGAGAAAGGTGGTGCATATGGAGCAGGCGCCAGCAGTGCCCCCATCCAAGGTTATTTTGGGTTTTCAAGCTACCGCGACCCCAACCCCATGAATTCACTAAAAGTATTCAATAACTCTGGAATCTTCGCCCGAGACAGATCCTGGACGACGCGGGAGCTTGATGAAGCGAAACTCGGCATCTTCCAGGGTCTTGACGCTCCCATGAGCGTTGACGAAGAAGGCCAGCGCTACTTCATGACTGGTGTCACTCAGGAGATGGACCAGCGCTGGCGCGAGCAGGTTCTTGATGTAACTGCTGAGGATGTGAATAATACCGCTCAGAAGTACCTCGTTAACGCATCACGACAGGTATTCTGTCTCCTAGGCGAGAAAAAAGATGGGTCCGATTTTGATGGTTGGGATGTGAGAAAGCTGTCCATGGGTCCTGAAGAAGGCAATGCCGCCGGTTCTGAGGAGCAAGGTGCGGCTACCGGCGCGGCTTAAGTATATACATACAAATTTTCTTTCGATGTCTTACATTTTTGGTTACGGTTGTCCTAGTTTCCCTTACGCTCTTATTTGAATATGCGTTCTAAACTTTTCGATATAGACCAGTTGATGCACCACCTCATTGTCTAGAGGGTGCGAATTTCACACTCCATGTATTTTTAGACGAACATGTATTATAATCGCATCTCTCTTGATTTACATCCCCACTGAGCCAGTTTCAAGCGTCTAGCCAAAAATTTCGCTCTATTACTAACCTACTTCCACGTCTCCCTTTTCATCTCTTGGGCCGCTGCTGATATGGTTTCTTCAACATATTCATTCTGAACGGACTAACATGAGACAACCAACGCGCTGCTCCAGAACAGAGCAATCATACGTCTGCCAACCTTTCATCCCCATGGTCGGCAGATCACAAGTCTCTCCGACGGCCACCCACCGCCCTCGCAGGCAGTGGCTGGTCCACGAGAAAAAGCGCAATATCAATAAAAGAGAGAGCAGTAAGGAGGAGCTCGGGGGGAAATGAAAGAAGGGAAAACCCCGCCTACCGAAGAGGGGATGGCCCACATTATCGAACCCCCTATATCTCCTACTTGCAAGGGAGTGGGGAGGGGATATGATGTTTTCTGGTATGATTCCGAACCAGTCTATCAGCTGACTTGCTCCTAATGCATGAGGGGTGTTCTTTGCCTATTCCGCAGCATTTGCCTTTTTGCTGGAAACCCCTCGATTCGCCGATGGTGTTTTCATGGAGAGGTTTTGTGCTATTGGAGTGAGGTTCAGTTCTCCTCACTTGCTGATGGGCTTGTCAATTGGTAGGGTGGTTTGGGTTGTTTCGGAATTTCGTATCTCTTTACTTTTTCCTTTGCTGTGGGGTTTAGAGGGATCCGCTTGGTGATGTGGATTATACCCCCTTTGGGTGGGAGTTTTCTTCATCTTTTGTTTTTACTGGGCTCTTCCTTGCTTCTCTGTTACCCTTTTGTCTCCATCTCATTTCAGAACTGCTCTTTTTCCTCAAGTTTAATGGAGGGCGGACTAGGGATGCGAGAACATTTACTTTTCTAGTCGGTTTTCAGTTGACCTTCCTCAATGCGCCCTGTAGTTTATTATTCCAAGCTTTGATATTGAAATGAACTCAAGCCTCATTTGCCGCATTTGCTTGCATTCATATCATTCGAGGCCTATTTGGCTTCACCTCTCCTCTCCATATCGCGTCCTCCCGTAGCAGGTCACCCACCTTCGCTTTATTTTCCAAGCCGCTCTTCTAAAGTCACCTTCAACGCCCACCTTCAAAAACTTCCAGCTCTCTCGAATACATACCTTGCGACGAATCCTGTGTAAGAATTAAGGATTGTAATAAGATACCCACACTTCAAGCAAACACATTACTTCCTCACGGCAACGCCTCGAAGACGAACATATCCCAACCACTTGCTACCATCCTCTTCCCTTGTGATGACCGTTTCAAGTAACTGACAGACCTCCTCAACAGCAGCCTCGCGGCGGTCCGCATCCACAATATCCAGCATCTGGGATCCCATCAGGCGCACCCACCCGGCAATACCGCCGTCTACGTCAGTGGTAAGCTTAGTGGGCCGATATTCGACTTCCAGCTTCTCAATATGAAATCCAATCTTCTCCAAGGTCGCTCTCATCCAGGATTCAGACGGAAAGAACCACGGGTTTGCGGCGCGCGCTTGCTGGATCGTAGTTCCCTGATGGGTCACCGCGGCAAGCAGCGCGGTGTTGGCTTCAGGCACATTCCCATGGCCCCCCATTTCGAATACAAAGGTCCCATTTGGTTTGAGGCAGGAGTATATTGTTTCCAGCACGCCCACCCTTGTGGATGCATCTCTCAGGATCCAGTGAAGTGCGGCATTAGAAACCCTGTTGAGTTGTTTATCAGTTTTTAACGGTCTTTAACCACTCAATGGGCGATGGGTGTACTAAGAGCAAAAAATACAGTTCTTACACTTTATCCCATGCCCTCTCGACAATATCCAGCTCCCGGTCCAAATACCTACAATCCACAACTCGAAATTCGGCCTTGGGGCTGCCATAATCCGCTTTGGCAGAGCTAATCATGGAAGCGGATGCGTCGATGCCCAGCACCGATCCCACATGTGGAATGAAACTGCCGGTGAACTTCCCATCTCCACATCCAATATCCAGCACCCGGTCTGTTGGCTGTGGGTTAAGATATTGCAACACCTTCTGTGTGAGCTTTGGGACAAAGGCAGCCGAAGTGTGATATGCCTGATTGGGGGGTTAAAAAATGATTATTTCTTCCCAAATTGTTAAGCTATAACAGATGAATACTGCTATCAAGAAGACGTACCTCTTCCGACCAGTGATCTTTCTGCGGCCCAGAAACTTCCTGCGTTGGTACCATCTCTCAATATCTTTTCTTGAAATGATTCTCTTCCTCTTGGTGCGCAGTTAGTTGCAAGATTCTAGGAGAAACAGGATCTACCAGTCTTTTTTCCGCTGCTAGCTCCTGTAGGCCTTATTTTTTATTTTTGTTTATTATATTTCTTTTAGCTGCATCTTTAACGAACCCGGGGTGTATGATTCCTTTATATTTACGTCTTTGAAGATTGCATAAGTCATCCTTCTGTCCAGAATAGCCGATATCGGATGCGGAGTTGGGGAGTTGCTTATTAAGCCAGAACAATAGTTATCCGTCGTTTTCCTGCCCCATCCTCTAGTTATATACAACTCGGCATCTATAAGCCTGTTAACGGGTTGCTGGGCTCGCTGTGCTTTGATGAGATACTGTGGAGAAGTATATTTCAAATCTTACCCGGCGTGGAGGGCTATGTAAACAGGAGAGGACCAACACTGGACCGGAATCGGAGTCTAGTTATTCTATGATTCTCACGCGGAGAAGAGTATTGGGGGGGTGTGGGTGTAAACTTGGACAGTATACAAAACCGACTCCGGCTATTTCAAGGCTTGTTCAGCGCTGGTAGGCAGTTAAAGTGAGCTTGACGGCTTAGTAGAAATTTGATTCTCCCGAGATGGTTGGAGCTGTCTACAGAACAAGACGAAGAACAGTAAGCCTGTAGCCGCACTTTGAAGTCGAAATATGAAATAATGAATGTAGTTGATTGCTCTGTTTCCCATCGATCAAAGTCCTCTTGTATCTTGAGGATATCCGGTCAAATTCCAAGCAACACCAATTTAACAGTAAATCCTTCCTAGTCTTTCGAAGCCATGACGCTGGAAGCATGTATTAGTTAGTATGAGCTCCGTCCCAAGGATTTAGCTTTGCCGGACTATCTCGTAGGCTCTGGGTGCCAACTGTTGGCTATGGCTCCCGATCAATGTGGTCCCGACAAATATATTTCAAGTAAGCACCATTCCTGTTCCGAAGTGGTGTCTGCACTTCCGATCCAGCCATCCTGATGCGGCTTAATTTCGGAAATGGTATGTTCATCAGTGCACCGTGCCTCATAGCAGCCAACGCTTCTCGGAATTTGAATACCTGGGAACAACATATCTGAGGTTAACTATTCGTCCGATGACAAGCAATAGTAATGCATCCTTGAGTTCCAGCCAGTAGTTCTTCCTAACCCGTCTGCACTGCAGGCGCAAGTGCGCCATGTTTCTTCGCTGCCTGCAATCTTGCCTCTGATTAATGGGTGAGAGAGTTTCGCGCCAGTTGCAAGAAAGATGGTTGAGAATGCAAAGATGTTCATGAATGGGCTGAGATTGATTGTGATAACCAAACAGGCGCCGCTCGGAGGTCTAGAATCTCGGATCCCGAACAGTTTTCTTCCCCGGCAAACCTTAGCCGACAAGCCACATCCCGATAGCCGGTCTTGGCAGCCGATTAGTTATATGCTTGTTTCTCCGCAACGGCGACTGGCAGGGAAAAAAAAAAAAAAAAAAAAAAAAAAAAGATGAAGGAGAAGAAAACGAGAGAGGGGGGGGGGAGAGAGAAACTACGGTGTGAGACATGAAGCGATAACAAAACTACGATGAAGGTGCTCTGTAATGCCGGGAGTAGATGAGAAAGATGAATTGGGCGAGGATTAGGTTACAAAATGCTATTTCTTAAACTATTGGATCCGTCAAGCCATTTCTTAAGGAGTTTCACTCGTAAATCCGGAAATCTGGGGAATTGTTCTCCTCTTTTGGTCAAGGGGCTTAGGCGGGCGGATGAAAGCACATTCGAACCATGGATTTGGCAAAAGAACTTTCTTGCGGGCGGAGGGCAAAAAAAAAAAGAAAAGAAAAGAAAAAGAAAAAGAATTAAAAATAAGACTAAAATAAAATAAAAAGGTTCTGTCAGGTCCGGGGTTTTCTCCCGAGCGAGTATTCATGTCACTTTTTGATCGGTTCCTAGCAAAAAAGAAAAAAAGCGTGGAAACCAGTCAAAATATCATTAAGCACCACGAAAAAAATAAAAATAAAAAATAAAAAATAGTTACCTTACCTTTCACGGCTGTCTCTTATTATCACACTTAATTGCCAGTTGTTGTTCCTCTTGCTTGCATGGTTTCAGAAAAGAGAAGAGACATTATGTGTCCACGTCATGGCAAGTCTCCAGTCTTCTCTCCGTAACAATACAACCAGCAAGGACAGCAATAATACTATTGATATCGCTCCCAACCATGACCCCGGCAATTCCACCTCCACGTCTTTGGCAACGGCAAGAAAGGACGAAGCTATCCGTTCCCGTTCCCGTCCTCGTCTATCGTCCCCCTTCAGCAACACCAATCCTCACCATGACGTCGTAGAACCAACTGGGCCCGCCGACAGTGATGGCCACCACATAGCGGCATCACCAACGGTGGCGGCAACGGCACCAGTTGACAATTATGACCAGAGCTATCAAGATGCGACAGAGCTCGTCGACCTCCCTCCGGTCCCGGTGTCAGACCACAGTGACGAAGATAATCGTGACAACGCCCGCAATCCCAATAGCCTCAGCCGGTCATCTTCAATATCCACGATCTCGTCAGGCTCCGTGCGCCTGGTTGTCCAACGTACGCTAAGCACACAGCAGTCGAACAGCAGAGCCGGGGACAGCGCGGCAGGCAGTGGTACCAATAACAAGGGCATCCTGGCGGGAGTGAAGAGGTTTTGGTTTCAGCATGTCTCGATGACGGTGCCACGGAGCCAGAACAGGGATCATTTTGGTGAGTTGAGGATACCTTTCTGCTGTTCTCTGCCCTTCCCTCCTCCTCTTCTCCCTAAAACGTTTTATATACAATATTACATTTTTTGAGGGGGAGAGGGGTTATTTATATGTTTTATATCTACTGGCACTTTACCCCAAAGGATTGTCTTGGGGCTGCATGGGATTGGGGAAAAATCAGCCAGCCAACTCCAAAAAATAAGTCAAAAGCTCGCCATTGCTCACCAGGAAAAGCAAACCATTCCATCCCATCCCTGATATTTTTTGTTATTTTTGGGCATCTCCAAAAGCTTTGGTCCAGGAATATATTTATTCTATTTTGGAGTTCCGAAAAGAAGAAGCCGGCGTGGCGTGTCTTGGGTTTTCTTCGTTTTTGTATTTATTTTGCACTTGAAGAACAAGAAATAACCACCCTTACACAGCATCTCGCACATGTTCCCCCTATCATATCTTATGCCCATCCATCCATCCTCCCCAATAAAAGCTGCGAATAGTTGAAAACTTTTTGCATATCTACATTTCTATAACTAACCCGAAAAAATCCAACCACAGCCCTCGAAAGAACCTTCCTAGCCTACATCCGCACATCGCTCGCCTTCGCCTTCCAGGGCGCCCTCATCGCCCAACTTTTCAGCCTGCAAAACAAGCAGGATAAAAACATCGCGTTTGGGTTTCACACAGTCGGCAGGCCGCTGGCCTGTGCGTGTCACGCCTGTGCGATAATAGTTGCCGCTATGGGTTCGTACCGCTTCTGGAGACAGCAGAATGCGCTGGCGAGGGGTAAGGTGCAGGCGGGCGGGTGGGAGTTGAATCTTGCTGGTGTTTGTGCCGTTGGGGTAAGTGATATATATATATCCTTTGCTTTTCTTTTCTTTTCCTTTCTTGCTGGGCCCCGGGGTGACGAAGAGGTCTCGTTATTAAGCTCTTGTGTGGTTCTTCACCTTTTTATTTATTTATTTTATATTTTTCGCTTTTGTTGCTGTCCCTCTTGTCTGGCAGACAGGCACAGCACATGCATCTCCCGACCCCGTTCTGTAACATATGTATGTTTCGCAGAACGAAAATTTGGGAGATGCGTACGACCGGCACACTTTGGGTTGTTTCTTTTCTTTTCTTTTTCTTTTCTTTTCTTTCTTTCTTTCTTTTTTTATATACCATCCTCCTTACTTCAGGTCACAATAAACCACGCACACTAATAATACTGACAAGTATCTCCTTTTTCATGCAGATAATCACATCGACATTTGTGCTAGTCATTTTGATAGCTACCAGATCCGAAGACTAATAACGAAACAAGCCATCATTAAGCTTCTGGTGATACTTTCCGCACTTTCCCTGCCCTAGTTGAGCGGAGATTTTTTGAAAAAGTTCGAATCAAAATGCTGTTTGGGGTTTGGGTTGGATTGCTGGAAACACCTTACGCATATACCCCAGAGTACGTACCTACGTGTCTCGGATAAAGCAATCAAGGGCGGCAAAGGCGTTTTGTTTAGGCACATACCTGTTCATTTACGTGCTCTTTTTTTATTCTTCTCCCTCAACACTTTTTTTCTTTCTTTCTTTCTTTCTTTTTTCTTTCTTTCTTTCTTTTTTCTTTCTTTCTTTCTTTCTTTTTTCTTTTTTCTTTCTTCTTTTTTCTTTTTTTTTTTTTGGCAATCGGCGCACTTGGTTAAAATTTTCCATCTTTTCCGTCTTCCTAGCTTTTCTTTTCCTTGCCATATCCCCCATGAAGCTAATAGCCCCTACCTAATATATACTGTACATGTACGGAGTACTACGGTATTGAATAAAGAAAACAATGAATGGATCCTTACTTCGATTCATCTCCTGGTCGCACATGGAGCCGCTAATCCTTATGGAGTACTCCGTACAGCTTCAAGACTTAACAGAGTGTGGCTGGCGGGCACTAAGAGTGTCGACGTCATACCTTGACCAGAAGCCGTCGCAATAACTAATCTGCTCATAGTGGAATAAAAGCTTAACATCCGCAGGGCTAAAAGAAAAAGTTAAAAGCAAAGTTACCATCAACAACAATTACTCCTTACAGATTATCTAGAAGGACGCAGCGATCTCTGATGACTAATACCCGCCTCCGTTTGGCCGGGCTGGTGTCACTTTTGACAGTTTTTAATTTTTAATTTGCTCTCTTCTACGATACTCCGGTTTTTCTTTTTCTTTTTCTTTTTTTTTTTTTTCTTTCTTTTTCTTTTTCTTTTTCTTTTTTTCTTTTTTTCCCCCTCTACTAAAATGCGTGGTCAGGACGATGATATCGCTTCATAGCTCTATACATGTACACCATCCTCTCAATCTTCCAGCCGTATACCAGCCCAAACCGGCTCCTAGTAGTGTATAGGAGCGAACAACAACCCAGTTACACTATATTCATCTCACTTTAACTCTCAATAGCTTGCGAGAGCAAGCCGTTTGATTCAATCCTCCCCCTTTCCCAGTCGGATCCCATTCGCGCGGCCCTCAGGGCAGTGCGGGCTCACCAATCCCGCAACGATGTGGATGTCAAAGTCCAACCGGATGATTCTCCTCCTTATAATCGATTCTGCATTCTTCCTCCTTGAACTCGGCGTTGGTGAGTCTACAGGCGCTTTTACATTGGGGCGCCAGGTGATAAGAAAGTTATGTAGGAGCTTTTTGCTGACTGCGCCGTTTTTCGCATTGGTCAGGTTACTCCGTTCATTCGCTAGCTTTGGTTGCGGATTCCTTTCATATGGTACGTGGACATTTCGAGGGGAATGTTTCTTGAACATCTCTTTTTGCTGACTAGTTCCCTCTTTTACTATACTCTAGCTCAATGATGTATTATCGCTGCTTGTCGGGCTATGGGCTGTCAAAGTCGCCAACCAGAGAACGAGCTCGAAGGTGTATACCTATGGGGTAAGTGATGGATCTGTCCAGTCTGTGGATTCGCCTGGGTACTTGCGGAATGAACCAAAGCTGATACGCTATATTTCGAATCATCATAGTGGCAACGAGCAGAGACTCTAGGTGCCTTAGCCAATGGCGTGTTCCTCGTAGCGTTGTGTGTGTCAATCTTCCTGGAAGCCATCCAACGATTCGTCGAACCACAAGTGGTGAATAACCCCAAACTCGTCTGTGTCGTTGGTTGTTTTGGTCTTTTATCCAATATCTTTGGATTGGTGCTTTTCCACGACCACTCGCATGCCCACGGAGGACATTCGCATGGCCATGGTGATGGAATGGCGGCTGTAGACGCGGCGGAGCAGGGCTACATTCAGGAACCAGGCAGGGAGGTCTTGGCGGACGAGTCCGGAACCGTGGCCAGCGTAATGCCAGAAAATGTAATAGCGAGCTGGTCTGCTGAAGAGCGGGCTGCTACGGAGAACAATGCCGCCTCTAGTCCTGGGACGAGGTGGAGCGAATCCAACAATGCCATCCACCGTCGCCGCAACTCTCGCCGGTTTAGCGCATCATTACAAAGACCTTTCCGCGATTCGGAAGATATTCAAATCCACCCCGCCATTCTACGTCGAGATATCATCGAAGCCAGTCGCTTTGACGAGCCGGGTTCTGAATCAGACGTGGAATATCCTTCGAACGACACTCGTCCCTCGGAACGAACGAATTTATTAGACGACTACGACGGCACATCATACTCCCAGCCAAACGGTCAACAAACAACTGGCAAACCACCCAAGGACCCCAAGAACCACGACTTACATGGCGGACACAATCACGCCAAGCCGAAAACCCACGAAGGGAAGAAGGGTCATTCCCACGGCGACCTAAACATGCGAGGCGTCTTCCTTCACGTAGTCGGCGACGCGCTGGGAAACATCGGCGTCATCGCCTCCGCCCTCGTAATCTGGCTCACCGACTACTCCTGGCGCTACTATGTCGACCCAGGCATCTCTCTCGTAATCACCTTCATAATTCTCGCCTCCGCCATCCCGCTCTGCAAAGCCGCGTCGCGAATCCTCCTCCAAGCCGTCCCCGCCGACCTTAGCATCGACCACATCATCGAAGACATCCAAAGCCTTCCCGGCATCATCAGCTGCCACCACCTGCACGTCTGGCAGCTCAGCGATACCAATCTCGTCTGCTCGCTGCATATCCAAGTCAGCCATGATGTTAAGGGCGAAGGGTCGGAGCGATACATGGAGCTTGCGCGCCATGTGCGTGGATGTCTGCATGCCTACGGTATCCACTCGTCGACCATCCAGCCGGAGTTCTATCCTGATAGTGACGATGATGCGACTGGCGGGGCGGGAGCAATGACGTCGTGTTCTCCAAATAATGGAGGAGCTGGGCCTCGACAGCGCAGCCCAGGGGGGAATTTTGTTGACCCTAACTGCCTCCTAGAATGTGGGGTCGAGTGCCCGGATGTACGACAGTGTTGTCCCCGTGGCAAATGATTTTTTTTTTTCTTCAACTTAATACGCATGGGCTGTCTTCTTGTTTTTTGACATATTGGATTGTTTTCTGGTGACTACAGCGTGCGGATAACTTTTCATTAGCATACTTTTCAACTTGTTTTATTTTTATTTTTAAAAATCTACTACTAGGTACCCATTGATTTTGAGTGACATTCCCAGCCGATTCATTGACTCTGATTGACAAATCTACTGTAGTATAGATCTCTCTCCGAAGTCACCTCTATACCCACATCTGCTTTGTTTCGGTTCAGTGAAAAGCTTATATATCATCTCTAATTTTATGTTATTTTATATTTCATTATATTATATTGTATGGTATCGATCCATGAAGGTTATGCCACCCCCGGTGGGGACCGATCAAAAGTATCCTAAAACCAATACGGAGGTCATTCATAAACGAAACAATCCCCACCGCGGAGATTTGATGCTGCTGGCCCGAGTCTGCCGACGCCCAGTATAAAGTTCGCTTTCGGGAGCTCTAGAGGATCGGCAGAGTACGTACTTCACTAGCCAAGCCGTTTCTTTGGATATCAGGCCTGCAAACAACTGCTCTGTCCTTTTACTTCTAAACTTCTTCTCTTTCTTTTGCATTCATATCATCTTCTTTTTCTTGTAATTCTCCTTCTACTTTCCCTTCTCCAATTTCTGCTACATATGTCGGAGAACAACAACATGTGGAAGGTGTAAAGCTTGTGTGATTGAAAGGTTGCTAGCTTGTGGAAAGTTATATGGTGGAAGGATTAGTAAGCCAGATCACGTGACCTGACACAACATATGGATGAAAGGCCCATTATCAATTCACCAGAGGAACGGCATGCCCCTGACACCTAGGAAATCAATCGTCATTGAGTCTCTCATATGATAGTAACGCTTACTACATAAAGGCCCATCCTCATTACAGCTTGAGGAATCGCTAGTTGCAACAGGGATGGTTTCATCCAATCACTTATCCGTCGTGCCTTGCCTAGATATCTAATAAGTTCTGCGAGCACGCATGTCATGGCATTCCATGACTACGGCGAACACTGGCTTAAGCCATGATTACTTCTACGGGCCCCTGCTAGCAGTAACGTGGAGAATCATCTAGAGACGGGGCAGCGTCCTTTACGCAGTATAGCATCATCTCCACTGCTTATTGACAGAAAGGCATCTGGGCGCCACACTGCCCTTGCTGAGGGCGAGTGTCAGCATGGATATTGGAGAACAATCCATCCCAGTTGCAATCTCTAGACTGTTCACACAAGGGTTATATAACCTGCTTGGAATCCCGTCCTCTTTCTCTGCTGGTCTCTACGCTCATTACCCCTCAGCTCTCGGATTCTTGAAATCCATCCAAGGCGGCACGGCACCTACCTCCCCCTCAACTTCTCTTACCTAGTAGCTGGGAATACTTCAAGGCGGTGATGGTGATCAGAGCACTATGTCAGCTAATATTATTTGGTCTGGCAAGTGGGCAGGTTGTCCAACACCCACTTTTACGCACTGTCAAAGAGTTGTATCCCAGATTCAACCCAGTTCTACCACCTCCACAGAAATACAGTTTGTCAAAATGAACTACAGCTGAGAGTGAATACTCCAATCCTCTATTTTCTTCTTCTTGTTGAGCTTTATCTTAGGGGCTACTTGGTTTAAAATACCAGATTGGGGTGCCCGATACGATAGCTAAGGATGGGTCTGAATGGACGAGAAACGGTCCGTCCTTGATGACTTAGATATAGATATGACGTTCTCCTCGATGGATGATAATTTCTTTCATTTTATTTCAACTTGACCTGGATGCCCAGTAGAGGCTTCCTAATTTTCAATGGGAGTCTTTTGAAGGAACTGATGTAATTAATATTGCATAATAGAATCTAGCAAAAGGGTAAATTATCTGTAGAAGAAAAGGGGCTAAAAGTGTTGGACCTTCCTATCACAGTCTAGCGTAGCTTATTTTAAAATACTAAGGCCCAGAACCTTTAAAGGAGAAATCAACGTGTTTAGCTCGATTATCCTCCAACAAACCTCCGCTACTCAGAAGAATTTTGACTCTGTGATAAACGACGGCCTGCAAAGTAATTCTTCTCCGGCGGCTCGTTTCTCTAGCGATTGCGATTGCCTTGAAAGCCCATGCCGACTTTGTTCCGCATCACCGAACCCAAGGCCCACTCACGGCGCGACAGGAGAAAGCATCAGGACGTGTGCTTAATACAATAACTAGCAGTTACTGGCGCCCAAGAAAGCGGAACAAAAGCGGAGATAAAACCCGGTAGGGTGCGGAAAAAGCGAAAAAAGAAAAACAAGCAAAAGACAACGAACAAGGACGAGCACAGAACTAGGAGAGCAGCGCAGGCGAACGGCGACAACGATGCTCCTTCGACCGTCCGTATTCCCTCACCGATTGTCCATATAGCATCTCAGCTACGGGCTATATTGGATTGTGCACATCCATTCGACTCTCATATACTACATGCAGCGCGATCAAAGGAGCGAGAGCCTATACCTACCAGCCAGGAACACCCGAGCCGCATCTGCCAAGTCCAACCGCCCACCGATGCTACATAACTAATACCATCAAACCATATAAAACGAGAAGTAAAAGATAAACGAGCAATAATGGCCTCTCGCTCCCATCGCGACCACTTCGTGGAACCACCCTCTCTTGTTTGGCGTATATACAACTCCCTCCCACCCGTTGTAACAACGACCATTGCAAGTATACAAACTCAAGCAACTCGTTTAGGTGCCTCATGTACCCGGGAGACCAGGAGGAGGACACGATGCGGATATGTGCTGAGACTGCTATGGCTGGCGTGCTCGTTGCAGAATGTCCTGATTCTTCTTTGGGGAGTGACGCTTTGGTGGGGGGAATGGACTGTGTTCAGGGATAGCGTGCGAGGGTGTGAGTGGACAGGGTGGGAACAATGGGTCTGTCTACTATTCTTTTTTCTTTTTTTCTTTTTCTTTTTTTCACATATTCTCTTTGTCCTCTCATTGTTACTATCTATTATGTTGCTATTTTTATGAGATGCTTCATTTGGTATAAGGTCTTTGAAAACTGACACATTCCGCGTATATGTAGCCGGAACAAGCCGTGCCGCATCATGTTGTGTTTATTGCGGACCCTCAGTTGGTCGACCCACATACATATCCCGGCCGGTCGTGGCCGCTCTCGTCACTGACAGTATTTTACGCTGATCTATATCTCTACCGAACTTATTCGTTGCTTCAGCGAGATCTGAGACCGGATACCACCTTCTTCTTAGGGGATTTGTTTGATGGGGGGAGGGAATGGGGAACGGAGAGGAGCTCGAGTCCAGAGGAAAGATTTAAAAAATATGGGCACAGTGTCTGGATGGAAGAGTATCGACGGTTCGTTCGACTGTTTTTCGATACATGGAAATTGGGAGGGGTCGATTCCGCTGCCAGCGAACGGGGCCGGAAGATCATCGCCAGTCTGCCGGGCAATCATGATCTAGGATTTGGGCATGGGATACAACAGCCCGTGCTCGAGCGGTTCCAGACTTATTTTGGCGTTGGGAATCGCGTAGACGTCTTGGGCAATCACTCGTTTGTCTCCGTCGACACCGTTTCGTTGAGCGCAATGGATCAGCCGGATCCTGAAACTGGCGGTTCCGGGGGTGACGAGATATGGAGAGCGGCCGATGACTTTCTAAATGATCTTTCAAATGTAAAGGCGCGCGCAGTTAAGCAAGAATTGCTTGCTCTCCAGGGCTATGCGGAGAATTATTTTACCCCCTCCAGGGTTGTCGATGCCGCTAACCCCTCCCCACCGGTGATATCCTCTGCACCACCTGAGGATATAGATCTACCTACAATTATCCTTACACATGTGCCTTTCTACCGTGAACCAGGGACACCCTGTGGACCCCTGCGAGAACGTTTTCCGCCATCCTCTACAGACCCATTACCGGAGAAGGACGAAAGAAATGCTATCAGGGTCTCTCGTGGTTACCAATACCAAAATGTCCTCTCGGACGCAATAGGCAGGAAAATAATAAGAAGCGCAGGAGCGAACGTAAAGCAGATATACTCCGGCGATGACCATGACTATTGTGAAATCATCCATCGCGAATTCAGCAGCTCGCCCAAGGAGATCACCGTGAAAACCTTATCATTGGCAATGGGGGTGCGCCGGCCGGGCTTCCAAATGGCCAGTCTCTACAACTCTATCGACCTCCAGACGGGAAACGCCATAAACACAGAATCCTCATCTTCTTCCTCCACGATCCAAAACCACCTGTGCCTCCTCCCCGACCAAATCTCCATCTTCATCCAATACGGCTACGTCCTCTTCCTTACCATCCTCGTCCTCCTTGTCCGCGCCGTTGCCCGCACATTCCGCACAGCCCAAGACCCAACATCACCAGCATCATCGCATGACTCCACAACCCTCCTCCCCCTCACCCACAGCCGCCAGCCTTCCAAACACCTAGACAAGTCCGCTCTCTCCACAACCTCCAGCACCTCAACCTCCTCCCCCACCTATCACAGTGAAAACCGATTCTCAAATCGGACAACCGGCACTGGCCATGATGAAGTTAGCGAGAGCCTACGACGGTCCGACTTGGCGCTGGACGAGAAGTTGAAGGATGGCAGCTGGGCCCCGAAAAGGGGTGCTGCCAGCAGTAGTAGCTATGATCGCGTCGGTGGCGGTAGAAGCAGCTTCAGACATGTGCTACGTACGGAGTTTGTCAAGCCGCTTATGCGCATTGCGATTGTAGCGGGGATATTTTACCTGTGGTTGGTATGGACGTGGTTGTGATGATTTATTTGTATTTCGAATTTGAATGCATGCATGTGCCTAAACCGGCTGCGGTTGGGTAGGGTTGGTGCGAGTTTTTTTTCCCCGCATTTTTCCGCATTTTTTCACTTTGGGAACTTTGGTTATTTTGTGGTCATTTGCATCCTGCTATGTATAGTAGCGCGCTGGTATTTGTTTTTATAGTTTACTGACCTCCCTTCTAGAAATTTGTACGAACCAGCGACTCGCCTGCACCATTTTCTCAGATGCACCACAGAGTTTAGCTCTAGCAATTACATTATTAACTACTTTTGAACTATTAATAGTTATTTATACTGAAAGTCCAAAATATTGCGCCCACACGGAGGCTTGTTGAAAGAATAGACTCCAGTGGTCTGGCTTAAATTCGGAGTCAGATAACATCCATGGATTTGAACCCAATACCCCCCGTTTGGCTTCACTACTAACGGAGATGCTGGTTGATACCGGTGTATATGAAAGCTCTTATCACTGCAATCAGTTATTACACATCGAACATGGTCAATTTCTCCTTATCCGCTCACCTGTTTCCCCTATGATATATTTGTTCAAGCCAAATAAGGTTGGATATCCATGTTAGCGCCTAACCTGTTCTGAGGTCTATGGGACTTGGGGGGTGAGCCTAGAGAATAAATACATGGAGAGTTGGATGCTGTTATTCTAAAACACCCCGACGGTCAATCGCCCCTCGTTATCGTCTCTTCCAACGTTATTTTCCCGATGAATATAACTTGGTCGAGCAATCCAGCTAGATCCTTGACGCATTTCCCCTTGAGGTTGAACAACGGCATTCCTGCGATATAATCTCTGGCACCAGTGTGCCTATACCGTTCTCAACTCGCTCATCATTTGCCAACCAACTGGCGCTGAAGAATTCAATTCTTCTTCGTCCCCTCGTCTGGCTGGCTCCTCGTATCTGTCGCCGTGCGCTCTCTACTCTAGAAGTGATGGGGTTTGACCCCAAAACGATGATCGAACATGGAATACACTGGGCCGAACATCAGGACCCTATATAGGCATGTCAATCACGCTCATATCATGAGTTTCTTTGGAGAATGTTTCTTCCGTGTGCTGGAGAGCTATGGAGTTCCTGAGTAAGGAAGAGCTGGATGGTATATTCCTCTTGTACGCGCATGTATGAATTGGACATTCGGAGACAGGTTATCTACCCTGACATGGTTGGTACATACATGTAACTTTTTTTTTTTTTTTTTTTTTTTTTTTTTTCTTCAAAGCCCATGCACTGAATACACGCAGACCTACATACCCGCTTTTTCTTGTATGTAACTGGCACCGTTTTGCATTCACACTGTCATAACGTCACCAGCGGCCAGTTCCCTCATTTAACCACCTGGAGATTCATAAGGTACTTTTCCGTATCATCAAAATGCTGGTCAATTTCTTCTACCAGTTCATTAATATATTAAAGTTATTCAGAGAAGCCAGACACAGACCATATGTGTGGATAATTTTAACACGGTCTCAAAATTTCAGCGCCATTGTTACATGCATATATCATGTAACGCACTGGTCAAATCAAGAATCAAAAGTGCTATTCCCGGCCTGTCTGAACCGCATCTTCATTATTGTTGTCATCATTGTTATAATCATCGTCATGGGCATCATGTCGGAAAATGGGCATCTGTGTGCTGAGAGTTGTATCCCCATATGCTGTTGGGTATCCAAGAGCAATCTTCAATGGTTATTATCCACGGCAAAATCATATGCTCAGATGGACATTAAAGGCCCCAATGAAGTGACCTTGCAGAATGTAAACTTTGAATAGATTCATGGAGATAACCATGGCCTGGAATGAAGATGTCAGCATCTGAAATAAACTATCAGTCCATCTAATTAATAGTTTCTATTAATTATCGGCGTGGACCTACACGGCGGACTAACTTCTCAATAGAATTTTGCACGAGGACTCACCGGATATACGAGCGAGTGCTCACGCTCCACCGCCCGCATCTTTCACTTCATGAAAGCGGTCACTGCGAGAATCTCAGATCGAAGAAGCGAGTCACGCTCATTTGCCGGATGGTCACATATCATCAGGAGGGTCCCATGTGGTTTCAGCTTTGAGAATATGTTGTGCACGTAGCGAACAAGAATAGGGGATGGTAGATATTTTCACGACCTCTCTTGCCATGGTGAAGGGAAATCCTAGCCTACATCACTAAGATAATGTACTGTACATGACACTAGGCAATTCCCGCCCATCAAAGTACTGCTACATCTCTCCAATATCGAAGTTGCCTGGCGGAGGCAGCTAATGAGCTGAAACATCTCCATCCGTCCAGAGCGATGGGGAGCAAGGGGGGATTGAAAGGGTTTTTTGAGGGAGAACCGGCGTAAAACACCGCGTCTCAGATTCAGAAGATGATGAACCCTCAGCCTTACTAGTAGAGGGGCTCAGCGGGCATATTCTCAAGCACTGCTGCTCAGTGTGGTCCAGGACAGGACGGTCTGGGATTTCCTCAAGGATCGATACTAGGCTCTTCAACTGACTATACCACTGCTTCCTGATTTCGAGTCTCCTTTTAGATTGGTTATCGTGCAGCCGTTGCTCCCATCTCCGTAAATAGGGTTCTTTCCTGTGCTGTGATCGCCATCCCAGATGCTATTGGCAAGGACCTGTGCCCGTGCCTGCATGGTGTATATATACTGCGTACACTCCGTACAAGCCGCAGTTTTATTTTCCGGCGGAGCTTAAAAATAAATTCCATGCTCATCATAGCCTTATATTGGAGGGGCTTGGTACCTGGTTAACCAGCCAAGCTTTAGGCGTCAAGCCCCGAAACAAGGCCCAAATGTTTTGAGGCTGTCAACTGGTCATAAATATGTCTAGCCTCTGCAATAGCTAAAGTTAAAAGGGAATAATAGCCTTGTCCGTTTTCTTTTTCGTCTTTCTCTCTTTCTTTCCTTTTCTTTTGGTGATCAATGTGCCATTTGCCAAATGTATGTATGTACATGCATAAAATATTGAAGTTTATGCAGGGACGAGTATTTGTTATTTTGGTGGCTCACGGATTAGTTAACTGTCCCGCGGCCCGTTGACGTCAATGTATCCATGATTCGGGTTTGTGATTGAGGTAGCAGCAGACCTTGAAGAATACCATGTTCGGCAGTTACGTAGCCTCTCCTACATGGATCAGAGTCTATAGTGCTTCGTAAAGAGGTAGTAGTATCTCCATCAGAGGGAAACGCGAAGAACAGCACAAAAGAGGATCGAAGTCCCCCTTCATACTCCTCAGTAAGCAATCATAATGTCAGCAGATGACCGGCATATTCCCCTGAAGAGAACAGCAAAATGCCTTAGTTATGTTCTAGTAGCAAGGGTTAACAACACTTGCTCTGTCCTTTAAACTCTTGTGATGTCCACTTACATTCTCTGTATTTCCCTCGAGTGGGGGGGTATACTGCGAATTGCGAATGGAAATTAACGGGAGGACTGGACATTGCGCTGCGCCTTTGCAAGATATGCACCACGAGAACTGCATGGATCCGAGTCCAGGAGTGTGAGCAGAACTTAATTAGGTACGCAAATTCTTTCTCTGCCCGTAGGCTGTGTGCCGCAGTACGGTCTGTAAATATTCCGATGTTCAAAAATGATAACAGCAGACTGGATAGTACATGTACATTACATTTCAGTACGAGTACAGAGTAACTACTATGAAGGTTAATGATGTGAATATTCTATTCTGACTTTGTCTGTTATCCTGCCATGGCCCATGGGGGAAGAATAATCCTCGGCTTTCACAAGGGTTGTAGTTGTGAACTTGGGATGAGGATAAGCATCTGTCACCCCTTGCCCAAGCGCCTCGCTAACCTCGCACCATACATAACATATAACTACTGCGTAACATCGCCAAACAAGCATCCCCGGAGCCCGTTGTCTCTTAGCGCGAAGACCATTGTGAACCGCTGGCGAGTGACTGACATTATTTTCAAACCTCAACACATGGTAAAAAAAATAAATAAACCACGACAAAACCACCAGGCTAATCCGCAATTTATCAAGAAGGATTTATGCAGAGCCTGAGACTATTCCCCTCAGGAACGGCACGCCAGTGGCCAATCAAGGAAGATACAAAGTCTCCATCCCTCTGCACCGCCACTGTCAGAGTGAAGATCGCAATCCAAGTTATCCACCGCCAAAGTTGGAGAGGAGAGGAAAGAAGGAAAGTCTCGCGGTCTCTCGGGGTTTGACCTCGCATGGCTGTCTCTCGGTATCCAACGTTATTTATCAAGCAATCATTTATCGAGAGATTCTAGATCACGCAGCGTGACGATGCTGTGCATTATTGCCCCGTAGAGGTTTCAAATTGGAATCTGTCAGGCGCGCTGGAAAAGAATATGCCCTACAGCTTCTATGTACACACCTATTCAGGAAGAGACATACATACACATACATACAAAGGGCGAAGGGCTGGGTACACAGGGAGGAATAATGACAATGAGGTTACATACACCGTCATTACTGCGATGGAACAGCCCTCCCTGGGTTCAATGGGTTGAGATCCCGGCATCTGAGACAGCAGGATCGTGATGGATGGGTTGATTGTTTCACCATTACGTTAGGACTGGTCTAGGGTGGTTTTCGGGGACGAGCAAATACTTCCGTTTGGAAACAGATCGCAACACGCCCGTTTACCTGACGCATCCGTACATTACTATGATAGGTGCTCCATAAATCGCTTCTCTGACGCCAGGCGGCGCCTGGCTTGCATGCTCCATGCTGGTGGTTGAGTATCTTACGAAAAACAAGCTTCAGCCGTTTCCTCTTTTTACGAAAAGATTCTGTCCAACCGATGAGATGGAACTCGGGACGATTCTAGGCACACCGCCCAGTCCGGATCGGATCAGCAGCATTATCAGCGATAATCACGAAATCCTCCGTCCAGATAGATGTCCATCACGATGCTTGTTTGAGTATGTGGGTCATGTGACAATCACTCCATCAAACTTTGCTGCGAGTAATTGGCTGTTCGGTCGAGCTGACTTGGAGATAGATAGGCGGATGGAAAGGTCGATGGTTGTGTGTGTATCCATCTGAACGACTGCACGAAAGTGGTTGTGGGCGCAGAATTATGCCTGGTATCGTCAAGGAAGGACGGTATGGTATCAGGGGGGGTGTAAGTGTAAGAATGGAACCCTCCTCCTCCCCTCTTCCATGGCCAGAATCCCAGCAGTTGATCGACAGCCGAGTCTGCACGGATCCAACCTACTGCGCGCTTCAGATGTAGCCCAATCAGGTCCGCCGCTTAGGATTTCTTTGCCTTTTTCAGACCCGGCCTGAGTCCAGGCCAACGAGCCAAAGGACCCAGCAAGGGCCCGACGATGGCGGTCTAAGTGGAGGCTTGTCCCCTGACTAGCCAGCCTTAGCGGCAGCTAGCTTTGTTTGCAACAGCCAGCGGTCCGTCCGCATACACTTCAACCCAAGGAGAAAAAGAACGAGCCCGAGAGCAGCCCGAAAAGCGTTGCCCCAAAAGCAAAACCCCGTATTATTTATTTGCCGTATTCGTTCGACGACTCCCTCATGCTTCCACGTCGCGCACCTTCCATCTCTCTCGTTTCTCCTCCTTTCTCACCCTCATAATCCTCATCCTCTTCTTCTCCATAACCTCCTCCTTCTTCCCTCTCCGCGAGGATTACTCTCTTTTACTCCCTCCGTTCGCTCCTTTTTTTGTCATATATCGTTTGAGGATTTCTCTGGACTTTACTCGCTGAAGGGAAAAAAAAAAAGGAAAACTTAAAGAAGCATCACGCCAGCCAGGTTCCAGAACAACCGTGTGACACTTCGGGCTCGATGATTCCCTGAACGGACTTCAAACGGTTTCTTCAACCCTTCCCTCCTTCTATCCAGTCTCTACCACACCACCCGTATCTCATATGCTACAGTTGAAAGGGGATATAAAATAACACCCCTATACACTCTTTTTGTTTAATATTATTTCGGGCTATCATAATCATGGGGCCCTTTCGATGGAAAGTGCTCCTCCTGCTGAATGTGCTGCTGGGCGTTGCTTCGGCTGTCACTATTTCAGGCGCGAGGGGTGGCGTCAATCACCATACCGGTGAACGACCCGCTCGCAAGGACATCAACAGGCTGCAGTGGTCTGGCCCAGAGTGGGATCTCTACATCCAGGCCCTCAAGGCTTACCAGGAAGAGGACCGGAGTCATCTTTTGAGCTATCATCAGGTCGCTGGTAAGAGATGCGCCCCAAGGACTCAAGGACGCATGTATTAGTTGTGCATATATCTAACATTTAGAATTTAGGTATTCATGGTTACCCTTATAAATCCTGGGATGGCGTGGAGGGTTTGGGGGGTGCTGGTTATTGCTCTCACGGTTCGACTCTGTTCCCCGTATGGCATCGTCCTTACCTTGCCATGTATGAGGTTAGTGAAGTTTTAGTTTCGTTATTTGTTCGGTATTAAGTATCCTCTGCATAGACCAAAAATTCTAACACGCGTTACCAATCGGTAGGAGAGAATCTCGCGCTATGCCCACGCGATTGCCAACACGTACCCGCCAATCATCCGAGGAATTTATCAAAAAGCTGCAAGTGATTTGAGAATTCCATATTGGGACTGGGCCAGCGATCCGGAGCTTCCCCGCTCTGTGATCACCCCGGAGCTTAACATCAATACCCCGGAAGGATTGAGGACTGTTCGGAACCCACTTTACGACTACGCTATCAATCCATCGGCTCAAGAAGGCTTCCCCATTGACTCTGTTAGTAGATTCCTCGTTTTGAACTGGCGGCCGGTATATGAGTACTTTTCACTGACACCCAGCTCTTCAGCTTTCGAGATACCACAGAACCGTCCGCAACCCCGACGAGCAGGGTGTATCCCAGGTCGAGGCGATCCAGAGAACTCTGAATGCGAACGGTGCCCTGTAAGTCAAAAAATTTAAGTAACAGAGCGATTTGAGTAATGCCGCCTAACAGTCAAACTTTAGCATTCGAATCAACACCTATCAACTTCTTGCTGGCGAAACCAACTACACCGTGTTCTCGACTGATGCTCTCCCGGACCGCCACGGAAGTTTCAACAACCTGGAGAACATTCACGGTCTCATTCACAATTCTGTTGGAGGCAATGGTGGACATATGACGTACACCCCCTGGTCCGCCTATGACCCGATCTTCTGGCTCCACCATACGTTAGTGAAAAAAAAAGTCTCGTCCTCCCTCTTACAGGCAGCGTGCTAATTGATGTTACAGCAACGTCGACCGCGTCGTCGCTCTGTGGCAAGCTGTCCACCCTGAATCATACGTACAGCCTCTGCCAAACCGTGGCGGAGATTTCATGAAGAGACCGGGAACCTGGGAAGATGCAAAAACTCGTACGTGCACCTCTTCTCCTCTGGAATTTTCCAGTGTAGCCAAAAGAAAAAAAAAGAGAGAAAAACGAGAAAAATACTAACCTTCATTTTCAGCATTTGCGCCCTTCCGCGACCCCAACAACCGATTCTACAATGCCGAAACCTCTCGAAGCATGAGACCCTTCGGCTACACCTATCCCGAGATTAGGGACTGGGGCGTTACCCCAGAGCAGCTGTCCAGGAACGTCCGCATGGAAATCAACCGACTGTACAACAGACCAGGCGACAACAACAGAAAGCGCAGCACCGCTCTCACCGCGCGCGCTGCGCACCACCACGGCATGATCATGCACAAGCGCATGCCCAACCTCGCCGAGGACACCCTGGACGACCTCAAGAAACTCAACTTCAAGGTTAAGGAATTCTTCGAAGACCTAGGCAAATTCAGCTTGCTCAACTTCATCAAGCTGGGCATCAACAACCTGGAGAAGCAGTGGGTTATCAACATCCGAGCGAACAAGTTCGCACTCCCCCACGCATACAACATCCACTTCTTCCTCTCGGAGCCCCCCGAAGAGTCCTGCGACTGGGCCTCTGCCCCTAACCTGATCGGCACCTTCGCCTCCTTCGCCTCCTCCATGGGCTCCCCAGCCAACAGAACTCGCGACATGTACGGACAGATCCCTCTCTCGCATGTGCTGGCTGTGGTGTGGGACAGCAAGATGATCCTCGACCTGGAGGACGCGACGATTCTGCCGCTGCTGGAGAAGCACCTTGAGTGGCGCGTGCAGGATCTGACGGGCAAGGTTGTGGATGCTGGTGAGCTTATCGGGAGCTCCACGGGCCACTCCTGCGGGCTGGAGATTACGATTGCGGAGCGTGATGTTACGCCCTTGACGGGTGATGAGAAGGAGCGGGATCACTTCCCGATTCTTGGCGAATGGAAGATGTTTAAGGATATTACCCAGAAGGAGAAGAAGAAGAAGCAGTGCAAGCCTAAGTACAAAGTCTAAGGAATATTTTCTTTGCAACCATTTTTTTTTTTTTTTTTTCATTTTTTTCATTTTTGGATAGAGTGAGGGAAGAAAGGGGGAGGAAGCGTTGGGAAGGGAGAAAAAATAATAATAAATGGGCTATATGCCTAGAGAAGAAAAGCTATCAAGACGACTTCCATCCCCTTTTTTTTTTTTTTTTTTCTTCTGTATTTGTACCAACGATCCTTGCCTCCCTCTTTTCCCTTGTTTTTTTTCTTTTTTTTATAAATATTGGTCTGATGCTCATCCGGTTCCTTCCGTTCCTGTCTCCCAAATTTTCATGCCGTGTATTATATATTATATATTTACCTTATTTTCTACTTAGTATATATAGTAATCTCTACAGCTCTAACCTACATACGTAGCTTCATGTTCTATATCCCCTACTAGGGTCAGAGTCAAGAGTCAGAATTTGCAGAAGACCGAGTTTGTACAGTCCCCATCCCATGCCTTGCATCATAGTAGTTATTATACTCACTCCGTACTTATACTTTATATCTCGACGCCACCGGCAAGGCTCACTCCAATCAATCACCCTTATTCATCTAGAATAATAATGCTGGAAGTGGGACCTGAAATATCTTCACAAAAGAGCAGCACATTTTGAAAAAAACCCACACTGCAAATGAGGTTTTCATATTGGTGTTTCGCTGTGGCATTTCCCCCCCCCCCCAAAAAAAAAAAAAAAAAAAAAAAGCCGCCCCAAGCCTCAAGCTGTTCAGCCACCACGCTGTGCCCCAGCCCCAGCTGCCATTCCCAATCCTGGACGCTTGTAACTACGTAATAGGAGGCCCCGAAGCAGACTAGCCGAGTTGCAACGGTCGGGATGGAACACAGGGAAAGTTTCTGGGCGCTGGCGCTGGCTGGCGCGTGTTTCCGCAGCCAATGGACGGGGAGATGCTTATCTCTAGATAAATGGAGAGGAGAGGAGAGGAGAGGAGAGAGGGGAGAGGAGAGAGGAGAGCAGTGAGGATGGCGGGGAGAATATATATATATATAGAGAGAGAGAGAGAGAGAAGTTTAGAGGGGAGAGAGAGTCTGCGTTTCTGATGAACGAACAAACTACCATACAATAATAATATCAAATAAAATAAGCTCTCGAATCTTGAATATCTGTTACGTCTTGAAAACTACCTAGCCCTCCTAGTTAGTTACCAATATTCAATATGGTTGGAATTTTTCTTAACTTTTTCTGCTTCAAGGGATATATATATATATATAGGGTTCAGTGGAAGTGAAACAAGTAACTATATACACTACATATGTATTATTTTTACTTTTATAACGGCGCGGGAGCTGATCGATAGACTTTTTTTCTCATCCCCAGATAAATTTCAAACACAAAAGTTCCTTTTTTTTTTTTTTTTTTTGGGAAATCCCCATAGGCGTGTTGTGTTATGTATAGCCATTGAAGAATTTCCCTTCCTATACGCAGTAGTTCTACCTACTAAACTTAAACAAAGGAACCAAGTACTCCGTAGTAGAGAGTGAGAGAGTGAGAGAGAGGGTTTTTGATTTATTATTTATTTATTTGTTGCTGTGTTTTAGAACTATTAGTTAAGTTATTTACTACATTTATTTATTTTTTTGCCTGTCCGTTTCGAAATTTATCCCCAATATCATATCCCAATCTCCACATCTCCACACACGCTGCAACTCCACCACCCATCGTCATCCTCATCATCCTCGCCATCCTCGCCATCCTCGCCATGAGCCAGCTGGTATATGTGGCAATTGATTGTCTAGATTCCCGCTTCGAGCTGAGTTAGGTTCGCTCAACCCTCGGATACCCTCTTTACCGTCCGTCCCCATCTCAAGAATGCCCCGTCAATATTATTTATCAATTCAACTATAGCTAACTAGCTAGTTAGTAGTTAGAGGTTATAGCTAGTTAGTTACCTGGCGCCGGTAGGTAGGTAGGAATTAAAATACCAAAAAAAAAAAAAAAAAAAAAAAAAAAAAAAAAAAAAAAAAAACATAACGCAGAAGGGGAGAAGACAGATATAACTATCTACTCCGCCCCCCGTTGATGCCAATCGGTTCCTTTCTCCCTTTCCTTGTTATTTGGAATTGAGAGCGAAAGAGAATGGCTACAGCTGCTGCGACCAAACCATCCCCAACTCCCCGCCCGCAACTCGCCCCGGTCTAGCCTCGAATTCCGCTCTGACTACAACCCCCTCCACACTCCTGCTGTGCTGTGCTACGGTTGCTGCTCCGGCTAGCTCTAATAGAATTAATATATCAATAAATAATAACTTATCAGTTTCTCGCCTGCCATCATTATCACCTCCGCCCGCTGTGCTTTGGGGGGTAGTGGTATCATTCCCCCGCTCCACCTATCCCGCCAACTACATTCCTCACCCCGCCCGGATAGCATGCACCACAAAACACATAGCAAACAATTCATCACAATGAGCAATCCCGCTCCTAACGGCTACCTTGTAGCCGCGGGAGCTGTTGCCCCTATTGCGACAAGAACATCAACATCAACGACAACAACAACAACCACAACCACAATCGCTAATACTTCCACCACAACCGCAACAACGACATCAGGAGCACCGAAAACTGCGGGGAGTTCCATAGTCCTCTCTCCCAGACCCATCTGTGACGCCTGTTATAGGCGCAAGAGCAGATGTGCCATGAACGAGTCGATCAAAAAGTGCTACTCGTGCGATTTCCATCGGCAGGATTGTACGTTTAATTATCGCGTGCAGGCGCAGCAGGTACAGGCACAGAGTCAACTGGGCAAGAGGAAGTTTCAGGACGAACTTGGCGTGGGACCTGGCACTGATGCTGAGGAGGATGAGTGTGTTAAGCGGTGCGTGCCTTCGGTTGGGCTATATTGCATTTTTCTTTTTGCATCCCTTTGATATGGGACCGGTGAAAGGCTCTCGTTATCTTTGTTTTCTAATATCTTTAAAACTTCTTCTAAATATACTATACTATTATAGGCCCGCTACTGAAAAACCGTACATAGGGGTGGCTCCAGACTCCCCTCTTGAAGCCTCATTTGCGACCAGCCAACATATCGGCATGACAACAGAGCTTGAGCCACTCCTACTAGACTTTCTAACTCTCGACCACAACAACGAAAGCCCCTTGGCCACATCCCGCGTGCGCAAATGCGCCGATGACGGAACCTTCATGCGAGTGATTGACGGCTTTCATGCCCGGCATGAACTTCACGCCATATCCATCGAAACCATTGAGAACGCGGTTAGCCCCTTTGGGCCCATCCTCATCGATAATTTCTTCCAACATGCCAACCCGCCATTTCCTGTGATAATGGAAGACGCCTTCCGTCATTCGTATCAGACGAGGCGGAATTTGTCGCCCGTGCTGCTGGCAGCCGTGTACTTTATCTCCTTGAAATGGCTGGATCAAGGGACGGAGGATGCGAGCGTCCGACCAGGGTCAGGACCCGGCATGCAGACGCTACGAAAACCGGATGCTACTCGTCTGGAGTTGATGGCTACACGATTACTTAACGAATCTCTCGTGCGACCGCACATCTCCACCGTCCAAGCAGGTCTGCTCCTCTCCCAGAAATCAACCCTAAACACCCCTACGCTAATCACTCAGCTCGTGACTGCCGGCTACGATCTGGGTTTGCACCAAGACTGCAGTAACTGGAAAATTACTTCGTGGGAACGGGGGTTGCGCAAGCGGCTGGCCTGGGCCCTCTATGTGCAGGATAAATGGTGCGCTCTCGTCCACGGCCGCCCATCACATATCTTCGCAGCGAACTGGACCGTGGAGGAATTAACGTCGGCCGATTTCACGGATATGCATTCTTCAAGAAATTGTAGCGATAACGATAACATTAATGACAGGAGGGATCTGGATATTTCTTCATCTGCAGGCCCAGGTGCCGTCTTCTTCAGTCACTTCGTCACTCTAACTGCCATCCTCTCCGAAATCCTCGATACCTTCTACACCCTCCAAGCCACCTCTGAATTCTCCGCGGCGGGCCCGCAACGAACCCGAATAATCCTCGAGCGGGCAAAACCTATTCAAATCCGTCTAAAACAGTGGTTCACGTCTCTACCAGATGAGTTGAGGATGGACCATCACCAATACCCCGTAAACACTAACAGCAGCAATTACCCCAGCGCCGACCTGATGAGTGTAGATTCAATTATAAATACAATTACAAACAACACAAACCACTCAAACTTCAACGGCGGCCTACACCTCGCCTACTTCGCCACCGAAATAACCCTTCACAGAACCATAATCCGCTCTCTAGGCCCGGACTCCGCAGATCCATATCTATCACACATCTGCCGCTCAGCGGCAAAAACGCGACTAATTTCCGCCATGGACTTTGTCAACAGATTGCGTCCCGCCAATTTACGGTCATTCTGGCCATCAGCATCCCGGGCAAACTTCGCGCTAATCAGTTCGTTTGGCATTCTGCTGCGGGCCACGGCGCTGACGAGGGAGGAGGAAGAGTTTTATCGAATGCGTCTGGGTGAATATCGGTGGACGCTTAGCGTGAGTTGTAAAGATGCGGAGTTTTTGGCTGGAGCGATTGAAGGGTTGGATATGGGGATATGTTTGCTGAATAACGTGCCGCCGAAGAGGGGATTGGACGAGGTTGTGGCGGACGGTTATGGAGATGGATATAGGGGTGGTGATGGCGGCGGCGGCGGTGGTGGTGGAAACGGTAATGGGAAGGAGAATGGGAAGGAGAATGGGAAGGAGAATGGGAAGGGCCTCAGTACTTCTACTGCCATCCCCAAGGCGGACGATGAGATTAATATCATCGTCGAGGACAAGGCGGGGTTGGATGTCGATCCGGAGCTCGAAGAGGAGATGGAGCAGCTCGAGGCGATGGAGCAGCTCGAAGCGATGGAGCAGATGGATGAAGGGGAAGATATCTATTCCTTCTCCTCCGGCGAGTATTCAGAGGAATATCCCCGCCCGTCGAACCTGGGCGGCAGGCCCAGAGGCAAGAACGGTAATCCCTGCTACAAGCGCGGTCACCACCGTCATCATCATAATGATAGTCACCTCCAAGGCGCGGACCGCAGTGGCAGCACCGGCTTGTTTCCGGATAACGCCTATACCAACATAGACGTACCACCCATGGACATCCCAAAACTACACGGCGCCCGTGAGTTCGCAAGCCGGAACCTGAACAGGAGAGGAAACAACAACAACAACAGGAACCTGGAACCTGGGCCAGGGGAATCGGAATGCCAGCGTCCATACCAACACCAATGCCAGTGCCGGTGTTGGTGATCGGAGATCCAGCTCGTTGCCATCTGCTTTTCTGGGCTCGCGTCGCCGGCGACGTCAAATGGAAGGCGAGAGAGGGAGAGTGGAAAGGAGGGAGCAGGAGATAGATGGCCACAGACGATGTTCGAGACGGACGGCTTATTTATATATCTGGATGCCGTATGTCGACGGAGGGGTGAGTGTTAGGGACTTTGCGTGTTGAACTAATATATAGGGCGTAGCTCTGCGCTGGCGTGTTGGCTTTCTTTCGGTTGACTTACCTACTACTACCCCCCCCCTTTTGCGTTTTAAAATATAGATTGTGTTTTACATGGTTGGGTGTTTTTTCTGGCACTTTTTTTTTTTTGTATAGTCGCACGGCGTGTATATATTCTTAAGATAAGTCTTCATTTCGTCGTCTCATATTCCCCTGCTTCTTGCTTTGATCCCCATCTACTATGTAGATTGCAGCTATCACTCACGAAATTAATGAGATAACCAAACCCCAGAATTTGAACCATTTTCCCTCAGATCCACCCACTAGCTATTATCGATAATCAGTGAGGCTCTATCCTCTAACTCGATTCTACAGAACTTGAATGAGGAGGTAAAAAGATAGAAAATTAAATTCATTCATACAAAGGCGCGTCTAAAATACCTGAACGCGGTGCGTAACTCGAAAAAAATAAAATAAAATAAAAAAGGCAAACCCCTGCAATAATTTTGTTCCCATGTATTGTCTATATCGCCCAAACGCCATTTGGAAGCAAGACAAAAAAAGCAAATAGAATGGATGTGAGGTATCTGAAGGTGTTTGGCTTAATGCGTCTCTGTATCCTCCATCACATCTTCTGGACGCGACGGAAGAAAACGTTGGTTTTCGCCGGGAACCGAGTCCCATAGCTGGTGCTTTACATTGCTCCCTTAGCAGGGAGGATGGAGAAGGAGAAATATCGCAGCTAACAGCCAAAAGATGTCGGTAAAGTTCAGGGATATATTAAGAAAAAATTAAAATAAAAATTAAACCGATTACACCAAAAGTACACTATCGACCAAATTAGTTCACGGTCCTTCAGTCAAACGACTCGGGGAGGGGGGGAGTATGTAAAATAGAGAAGAAACTCACGCATTAACACATCCATCATTTTCACAGTTATTAGTAATCTGTGCCAGCTTGCCCCATAGCACCTTCCCGCTTGCCGTAACTTGTCCCAGTTCACTAACGTTGACTTCGATAATGGTTCCCTTGGTCAACACTCCCAGTTGCGTGTACATAGGGTTCTGGGGGTTCTTCTTGACACTAATAATCGGAAGCTGTACTGTAACGCCTAGCTTCGGATGCGTGACGTTCGCCTTCTTATAACGCAGGCCCATGGGCCGAATGAAGCGCTCGTACTTGACGGGGCGCCGCGTGAAGTCTGCGCCAACAAAGGTAGGTTTCGTAATCATACGCTTCCACGATTTCTTCGATGTTTTCTTCCCCGTCGTGACGACCTTGAACATCTCCTCCTCGCTTATTCCCTTAACTTTGGGCAAGGGAACGGCGAACTGAGCGGCCTTCTCGGCACGTTTATTCTTAATGGCGCTCGAGAGCGACTTCGCATTAGTTTCCTGGGATCTGTCTAGAAGGTAGTTTGGTAGTGGCGTGGAGGAAGGCTCGTTGGGTGCAGACGACTTGACGTCTTTCTCTTCTTGCGCCCTGATCCGTTTCTTCATCTCGATCTTCTCCGCATGGCGCTTCTTCTGGTATAGCTTGGCCCGCAGGCCGCGGAAGGACTGCGCATCGTGAGACTGCTTGTGTGATTCACGGGCTATGCGCTTTCGGGTGCGTTCCTCGTGGTCGAGGCTGTTTTATGAAGAGAGGAGGACGTTAGTTTGTTGTATCATATTTGCAGAGTAGCCTGTATTGGTTTCATGATTCACATACCGCTTCCCGTGCTGCTTCTGCCATCGCTCGATGTATCTGGAAGATTTTGTCAGCGGGCCCAGCCACGAAGTCAAAAAGGAGCAACGAATATTGGGCAAACGAACTCGTTCTGAGGCATCGTGAAGTCGGAAAGAGCAGGCCTTTATATATCTGAAAGACCTCAACAGCAACACTCTCTCCGTGGATCTTCACATCGGAAAAAAGTTGAGGTTGGTTATCGCGAAAACTAGCGAAATCACATGATTATTACATAAGCTAAAAATACATGTGACTTGTACGGTAACCGCAGCGGCTATTTGCGACATCCCGATTTGATTTTCTCCAACTTCATTGGAACAAGTAGACAAGCAATATACCGCCATCTTGAAGGAGGCGGACGCTCCGTAGCAATTGACGGATGATCAGGCCTTACACCCGTCGTATTATTAGGAGACATCTGCACAATACCACAGCAGCCATGTTCGCGAGATCTACCTTCCGCACCGCCCTCGACATCCGGTGGATGCCCTCCATCATCCCGTCGACTCGAGCAGCATGCATGCATCAAGCCTCAGCAACTCCCTTCCATGCAACAGCCCCTGAAATCCCTCCACAGTCACCCACGAAGGGTTCCAGTGAACAGACTACATCACAAACCCCCGAGACAGCTGTCCCATCACAATCTGAATTGTCCACACTACAAAGCTCATCCGCATCAACATTAGCATCGACAACGCCAACCATCCCACCAAACAAACTCCCGATTCAACCCACCTTCACAAAGCCCCTAACCCTCACGCCATCCCTAACCTCTCTTCTCCCACATCTCACAACACAAACGCCCCACTACATCACCGCGCACCTCCACGCGCGCCCCTATCTCCTGACAGAGGGGGACACACTGCGCCTCCCCTTCCTCATGCCCAACGTGCAAGCCGGCGACATCCTCCGCTTCAACCGGGCGTCCGTGATCGGTTCGCGCGACTTCACGCTCAAGGGGGCGCCGTACGTTGACGAGCGACTCTTCGAGTGTCGGGTGAGGGTTATTGGCACAGAGTCGGAGCCGCTGCGGATCAAGGAGAAGACCAAGCAGAGGCAGAGACATGTGAGGCGGGTAAAGAGCAAGCATAGGTATACGATTCTGAGGGTTGTGGATGTGAAGGTTAAGGGGGTGGATGAGTTGGTTAGGGAGGGGGCGGAGATTGTGAGTGAAGAGGCGGAGGGAGAGCAGACGCAGTAGGGGTGAAAACGTCAGATTTCTTGCATGCATATTTGGGTTATTTTGCTGGGCGGAGTGGGGGACAGATCCTTCTTTTCTGTTTGCTTACTGAGTGTATATTATCGCAGGATGCAAGAGGTTCGGTGCTGTGGGATTTTGTGGTTCGGCTACCCGACATTTAGGAACTGTTCAATCCTTCTCTCTCCCATGCCTTGGATAAAAATTTTGTCATGCACCATTATATTCCAATTACACGTCATGTTTTCTTGTATGTTCAGAAGATCCTTGTAAATGCAGAAGTATATAGCAATGCGACATTCAAGTTGAGCTGGTCACCCACTGACGTAGTCAGTTAATAGATTGTCCGCCTTGCGATGGGAAAGCCAAAGGAAAACTCCAACACTCCAGAATGGTAAAGGGTAAATGTTCATATCCACGATGATGTATAAAATAATGAAAAGGTCTCTATCGAAAGTTATAGACTTGTATGGTAATGTCAACAAGTAGTCGAGGCGCTGGAAGAGTTGATCAAACAAGACTCCAAGAAACAGAGATAAAGCGTGGAAATAGTGTATGAAGTACGTGGGTAGTTCTCCCGAAGAAAAGACAACGCTGGAACGCAGCAAATGGAATCGAACAATCAAAATATGCCCTAGGCAAGGTATTAAATAATAAAAAGGAAAGGAAATATAGCCAAGACAAACCCAATAATAGCCTTTGGCCCATGGGGGGAAAAGATACTCCGCAACACCCGGCCAAAAGCTAAACTCACCACAAGAATGAAAAGTCCCCATGAAATGATCCCAAGACACCTATCCAAAATATAGAAAGCCGTAGAAGGCAAGGGTAGGAAACCAAAGGAAAGAGAAAAAAAATACAAAATAATGAATGACAGCGAACAGTCGCAATAGGTCAAAGGGCATCTTCTTCGAGCGCCGACTGAATCTTCGCAAAGAACCCAGCCGGCCACGCAGCGAGATCCTCATCCTTCGGCGGTCCTCTTGCCCGACAATGATTGACGACATTAGTTAATATCCTCCCCAACATCTCCTGAGTCATTGGCACCGAACCCTCCAAGTTCGCTTCTGGATATAGGAACGGATCTCGCTGCCCCAGCAATTCTTGCACCGTGGGTCGCAGACGTGGGTCGCGCTGAAGGCAGCGCTTCATAGTCCGGATGAGGCCCGGTGGTACGGACGCACCACCAATGCCGAAAGCTGGGAAGTCAATGATCACTTTCGGATTGGGTATGGCCATGATGCGCTCGAAGGGTTTGGTGATATGCGCGAAGGGCGGGTCGCCGTAGACCATTTTATAGAGGATGCAACCTAAACTCCAGACGTCGCTTGGTTTACCGACTTTCATCATCTTGCCAACCGTCGAGGGGAGGCCGCTTGCGGCATTGATGTCGATAAGAGCTTCGGGTGCCATGTAGTTTGGTGTGCCAATTTGTTGCTCGCGATGGACGTTGACGGTGTCATCCTGGATCTTGTTTGCGATGCCAAAGTCAATTAGTTTTAGGTTTCCTTTCACCAGGACAAAATTGGCAGGTTTAAGATCTGAGTGGACGACGTCGAAGGCGTGAACGGCTTGGACGCACTCGAGCATTTCCTTCCAGTAATATCGTGTAAAGGCAGAATCAAAAATAGCGTCTTCTGTATTCAGTCGTAGCGTGAGGATCCTTTGTAGGTCCGACTCGCCAAACTCCATGAGAACACTAAGCGCATGCTTCTCCTCGTTGACTTCGTAATCAAACAATCGTACCACACGATCCACATTCTCAAGCTTTTTGAGTAAATCGATCTCTCCCTTATACCCGGCAAGCGCAATCGGGTCAACATCCTCCAAATTGACTCGCTTGAGCGCAAATATTTTGCAATTTTCAGCCATGACGCGGTAGACTCTAGAACTGCCGCCTCGCCCAATGCAATCTAATCGAGTAAAAGGCTTACGATTAATGGTAACCTGTACTCGTTTCTTCCTGGCTTGCGACGAACTAGCTCCTGCAGGAGCAGTCGCGGTTTCCAAGACGCTCATTTTAGGAGGGGGCGGTGCTGGCCTGTGTGGAGTGTTATTATCTTTTGGAGCTAGAGGTCTACGAGGTGAAATTGTTGGCGGCGCGGGTTTGGCTAGCTCCTTGCCATCGTCATAAACCACAGAGAACTTTTCCGCCTTATCTAAAAGGCTGAAGGCCTGGGACTTCGGTTTTCTGAATGTTGGTGGCGGATCATTCTCCTGACCTCCGCCCGTAGGTCTCGAAAGGAAAGGAGGCACGTGGTAAAATGCGGGTGCGTCTCTGGTAGATCGTGACGAATCTTTTCCCTCCGCTGATAATGGAGATTTCGATTTTGAACTAGGAACTTGGGGTGAATTGGATCTCAAGAGACCTCTATCAGAGGGTATTTCTGGCTCTGGGAGTCTCATCGGAAT